AACGGATTGGCAAATTGTGTGGATTAGTGTGGATATTTTGAATGTTCAATAGGCTAGGTTTATGATGGAATAAACTAGGCAGCTTTTAAATTTAAATAAAGAAATATATTAAAGAAATAGAGAAATTAAATGGAAAACTTGTAATCTGAACTTCAAGTAATTTTCACGAATATAAAAATATTAAAAACTCATTTATGTAATTTATCAAAGCACTTTAAATTTTAAAACCCATTAAATCAATTAAAACAATTTCTTTATAAGAGAGAATTAAAAATATTTTCCTATATAAAATAATTCAAATTTGTTTTCCTATTTAAAACAATATGAATTTTTTTAAAATAATTTAAAATTAATATTTTCGCGCTCTTCAAGCGATCTGGCAACATTTTCAAGCTTTTCTCACGCTTGCCGAAAAATTTTGCCTCAAGCCTCTCTTTAAAGCTTACACCCAAAAACTCTCTTAAATCAGAGCAAAATCTGCCCCAAAATGGTGTTGATTTCTTGGATAAATATGGAGCCCACCCACGAGAACCTGACGATCCGCCAGATAACAAGCTTGCTTGCTAATTGCCGCAATTAGCATTAAAATACAATCAAATCAAGCTTGAGCTTTCGTGCCTTAACAACCAAAAGCTCTGCAACAATGTTGCTCTGCCAAAAGTGTTGCAGCTTTAATAATAGCAACAGCAACGCATCAACAGTGGCAATCCTCTTAATGATCCCTCAATTAAGGTTTAAGTGAAATGAAACTGCTGCATTTTGATCGACACCGCAGACAGACATAAACTGCATCCAGAGCAGTGGCATTTATTTAATTGAGACTCATTTGACAGTCGCACTGGACGGACTGTCGAAAGGAGGAAAAACTAGAGGAATGTTTATAGATCAGAACACCGCTGCGATTAAATTATTCATTCCCGCCTGACTCTCACATGTGTGATATTAATATTCTTAAATTACAGAACTTTGACCCATAATCGCTCATTTAATTTATGCATAAAAATCCACTTGACTCGATAGAGTCGTATAAAAGGGCATTTCGCATACAAATTATTGCCATGCCATAAAAGTTCTCTGTCAAGTTTTCCACTCAGATATTGTGTGTGTTAATTGCTATTGCATTTCTATACTAAGTTCGTTGCTAGAGAGTAATTTACTCGAATATTGATTTCAATTTTAAAGAACGTTTAAGAACATGTGTGTGTGTGTGCTTTAAACCAATTCATAGAATTCTTTATATAATGACTTGATTTCGTAGCAAAAGGTTGCAGCCTTTTTATAATAATTGTGTCTTAATTGGAATAGCTTGTGACTGACTAAATTTCCTGTATTTCTTCGGCGTGCGTCTTTGTCTTTTAATGCCTGTGGAACTGACTGACTGACTGCTAAAGACTTGCATTTTATTTCCCTTGGAATCCTTTCCTCAAAAATGAATGCAAACAATTATATATCTGCTCTTAGTTGTATAATATAATATAATAATATAATAACATAATATAATATAATAATATATAATAATAATTATAATGAATTATTATAGTTTCGACTATTTTTTGTATATATTTCTTATCATTTATTAATTAAACAAAACATTGATATTTTTAATATTCAAATTTCGATGTTTTAATATATTATTAATATATTTTATTATTTACCAATTTTGATGGTAATGGGATCATTGTATGTATATATTTTTATTATTTATCGTACAAAATTGGTAATTTTAATGTACTAAACTAACCATGTACTTATTTGTAGTGTATTTATTTAAACATGTAATTGTTATTTTTATAAGTACATCGAAATTTTAGTGAATAATTGTTCCAAGTATATTCATGATTAGTTTTTATTATTTATCGTATAATATCGTATATTCGAAACATATTTATTGATATTCTTTCCATCCCTAATTTCTTAGTTACGGTCGCTCTTTGCTTTATTTTTTTAGAACACTTTAACACTCTAGTGACGACCATTATTTCCTCTCTAAGAAAAGCGGTTTTAGTTATACAATCACTTGAGTTAGGACAAGTACTTGTACCTTAGACGTGTGTGTAAATTTACTCTCGTAAATTATATAAAACAAACACAGAACTCGTGTAAATACTAACAATAGAGCTACGAGTAGAAGTACTTTGCTTCGTTGAGTGTTTGTGTCGCTTTGTTTTTTATGTAGCGGAAGCAAAACTATAGAGAGGCCCGACTGTACCTGTGGTTCAGGGGATCAAATTCTTGGAAGATGATCAAACTCCAGATAAAACAGAATATTTCGTGAATAAACATTGAAGCATAAAAGATGATATTTCAATTAAAAGCATTACCTGCTCTGATGGCATATAATACACAATTTATGACAGAGCCTTTCATTATCTTTATAATTAAGATTGATATAATGGAAGGAGACATTTTCAATCAGCTTATTTGTAATTTAAGAGCCTCTTTCATGACGCACAACTCTGTGGACCTGCCAATGAGTGTTTTTCCATTGCGTAGCTCTTTCCATTCGTGTCCCATGCCCTGTGGAGGGTCTCATTACAATAAATACAAAAACGCCCCAGACTCTCTGCAGCACTTGATCTGCCCCAACAATAAAAGGCAGCAGACAACGCGCTATCCAGAACCCGTTACCCATGGGGACTTGGGGACTGGGGACAAGCGGAAGTCGCGCCGATTCCATAAACTCGAAATTCCATCACGCTCACGGGCCCCTCTGCTTCACTGATGAGGAGTCGCAGCAGCCGCAGGGTATATTTACTACAGCCTTCATATGACACGCCTCGAAAAAAAAGAAAAAACAAGAGCCCCGCCGCTGAGTCATATATTTATAGATCACTTTACTTTATAATATTTTATTTCAATTATCTTCTCGGGCAATAACCGCTACCAAGTTCGAGCCAAAAACGGATACAGTCAGTCACCAGTCTCAAGTGTATCTCTCAAGAGTGTATCTATCTCTCTTGAAAGATCTAAGCAAACAATTAGCTATTCACATTTCAAGCTATGAGTACGAGTGAGCAACAATTACATTAGAAAACTTTAGTCAAAGCAAAAGCCACAAATGTGTGCAAATATTTGGCAGGTTTTTTTTTGTTGATGTTTAAAAATTGAATTTTTTTTTTTTTGGCTTGAATGGAGATGAGGTCTAAGGCGGACAGAGATGCAGAGGTGTGGTTAATAGAAAAAGGGGTAAAAAACGTGTAATCTTGGGATTTAAAACTTAAAGAATTTAAATTTAACACTTAATGAATTTATATATAAAACTTAAAGAATTTAAATTTAAAACATAAAGAATTTAAATTTAAGACTTAAAGAATTAAAATTTAAAAATTAAAGAACTTAAATATAAAACTTAAAATTTTAAAAACCTTAATTTAAAATTTAATTTCATTAACCAAATTAACTCTAAATTTAATTTCATTAAATTTTAAATTAAAAGAACTTAACTTTAAAATTTAAAGAAATTAAATATAGCATTTAATGAAATTAAATTTAATATTTAAAGATTTTTTTACTCTTGAATATGGAATAAGGGGTAGAAATGGAAACAGTGGCGTGGGAGAGTAGGAAAAAGGGGTGTATGTTTGTACTGTGAGCCATAATATATGATGTTTATATGGAATAGAACTTACTGGACAAATTCTCTAAAAGATTATTTCGTATACATCAATCATACGATTAAAACTTCATTCATGATTTAAAGCTCTTAAAGTACTTAATTCTGCACTTTATTCAGAGTCAAAGATCTACAAACTAAATTAACGATGGAAATTAATTGTAATTTTGACTCATTCCTGACTCTTAGTGGGAATCACATCTCAAAAGAGATTTTCCCCGAGTTCTCAAAGATCATTTGGGTGACCCCTTTTAATGCGCTCTGTTTATGGATCAAACACACGACCAACAACCCAAAATTTGTTTGACCCAATAACCCACCTAAATGGGGATAAAAACCCCCCATTTGGGGATGAGTCTTTTTTTGGAAGCTCCAAAGTCTACGCCACTGCGCATGCGTGCGCTTTGCCTTTTAGTAGGTAGAGCTCCAATTTATTTATATTTATTGTTTTATATAGAAATAATAAGTGTACGTTGTCATGTTGTGGTGGCAGTAGCATCCAATGTTTTTTTCCTCTGCCTGCCTGCCTGCCACCAAGGTAATTATTTTTCTGTTTAGTAAACTGTATTTTTTTTCGGAGGTTTTCTGTGGTTTTATCTTTGAACCCCAGAGGGCACATTGTGTGTGTGTGTGCTGCTATCAGGCGGCTACTCTGTCATTTGTTGGTGTTGTTGTTGTTGCTTGATGATTGTTAATGTCTCGGTCAACGCTTTTAAGTCAAGTTCTGAGCCTGTACGCTCTCTGTACCTCGCTCTTTGTCTGAGTGAAGTTATTTTTTTTTTTTGGAGTGGAGTCTGGTTCCGATGTTCAGAAACAATTTATGCGGTGTACAAAAACGCTCGACGCATACGCTTTGCTGATGAGAACGCGTTCAGAAGTCCATCGTGTGGGATGCGGAATAAAACTGAAAAATTCAACGTCTTCAATTAATACCTAAAGAGAACCCAAAAGATAAGATAAAAGTAATTGTATTTTCAGGGAATTCTTTGTATTCTGTGGAAAGTGTTTGAGGCTACTAAAAATAATACATTTTAGAGTGCATTATGACAGACATTTTTTAAATTTCTTCTGAGGCAATAAAATGCGAATAAAAGTCAAAGAGTGCCCAAAGTGGATTATAATGAACTAATTTCGAATGAAAAAAAAGTAAACTTAAAATTCGCACAGTGGATTATCATGAGTGAAGTTCTATCTACAACCTACGAGACGATTTCCATCTAAAACAAAAGTTTGAAGTTCTTAAAGTTAATGGATAATGAGCTGAAGTTTAATTTAAAGACTCTACCCAAATACGAGCCACAACGAACAACGAACTACCAAATCCCAGAGTTTTTCCGTTAAAAGACAATGAACAAAGTTCTATCCAAAAAAATCCATACGGTACCCACATAAAAGTGCACCTTAAATAATTAAAAATCCTGCAAAAATCCTCTAAAAGATTCCCATCAACATGTCCAATATCGCCAGCTGTTTGTGGTTGTTCTCATTATTGCTTTTGATGAGTCCAATTTCAGCAACAAACAGTCGACGCATTCGACGCCAGAATCGCTCCGATCAACTCCTAGCGGATATAGGAGTTCATGCGCAGAGCTACGATCCAAGAAAACTGGAGAATGGCATACAACAATACACCGTAATCGACAGAGATCTGCGACAATTATTCTTGGGCACGCGACGAGTTATGTTAAATTTTGCACTGCGAAATATCGAAGATCTAAAGAATCGAAATATGCGCGAGGGCAAGATACAAATACCCATCTCGAAGAGGAAACCATTTCCGTGTCCCATGAACAATACCAGATCGGAGAAACCACCCACATCGGTGGAGAGATTACGGCCCGGGGATATTGATATTATAGCCGCCTTTGGGGACTCGCTATCGGCGGGCAATGGCATACTATCGAATAATGCCATCGATATGATCAATGAATTTCGTGCATTGAGTTTTTCCGGTGGCGGTTTGGAGAACTGGCGTCGCTACTTGACGCTACCGAATATCCTAAAGATATTTAATCCGAAATTGTATGGCTTTTCGGTGACCAATACTCTGGTGGTTAATCATCCCAATTCACGCTTCAACATTGCCGAGCCGATGGTCATGTCGAGGGATTTGCCATTTCAGGCCAGGGTACTCATCGATCTGCTGCGTCGTGATCCGCATGTGGATATGAAGCGACACTGGAAGCTGCTGACAGTTTATGTCGGTAATAATGACATTTGCTCGGATCTGTGCCACTGGGATGAGCCGCAGGCGTTGCTCGATCAACATGCCAGGGATCTGAGACAGGCCTTTCGACTGCTCAGAGATAATGTGCCCCGTTTGCTGATCAATCTGATTGTGGTGCCGAATATACACCTCACCCTGACGACCATGAGGGAGATACCCTTCCAGTGCTTTGTGGTGCATCGCGTGGGCTGCCACTGTCTGTTAAATGATCGTTTGAATCGCACGCAGCTCAGTCAACGCATGGACACCGTACGACGCTGGCAACAGGTGGATCTGGATGTTGCCCGCCTGCCCGAGTTTCAACGCGAGGACTTTGCCATTGTGGCGCATCCGATGCTGGCAAATGTCACAGCGCCAAGGCTGCAGAATGGCCACACCGATTGGCGTTTCTTCTCGCACGATTGCTTCCATTTCAGTCAGCGGGGGCATGCCATCATCTCGAATATGCTGTGGAACAGCATGCTGCTGCCCGATGATCGCAAGCCGCGTCCCTTCACCATTCCAGGGCTATTCGAGAGCATCGTTTGTCCCAGCGAACAGCAGCCCTACTTTGTGGTGAGACCTGGCTAAAAGCGAAGAGCTCATCCTCCCCGAAGGTTACAGTGGGGTTTGGGTTACGTTGTGGGTTACTGAATCGAAGGTTAAAGCTGTCTGTGTGATATGAGGTTACATTTTAAGGTTTTTACTATAAGGTTTTATTTTGTAAGTTTTGTGATTATTAAAAAGCAAGAATGCTGCTGATTTGTCTCGTTTTTTTGAGTGGTTTTTTGGGATGAAGATGGATTTAATCATTGAGGGACTTATGCTGGAGATTTTGAAAATTTTGTTTGCAGAGAAGTCTTGAAATTTTTTGCCTGCAGATGCTGATATGTTTTTGAGTCAAAGTTCATATAAATAAACAAGTTCTGGAGGGCTTTCTACACCTGGAAGATTTTGTTTCCCGTAGAAAAAATATTTATGTACATTTATTTTATTCCAATCTGAAGACTTTTCATCCTAAGGATGAATGCCCAACATTCCTTTAAAGGGTTATACAAAGTGTTAAGGGTCATTCTTTTAGTCAGTTCTTAATTTATTTTAACCCCTCTTCCAAATCACAAAAAAGATTAACCGTCTCGCCAGAGCTCTCTCAGATATAATCTCCCACTTTCCCACTCCTCTTTTCTCCAACTCTCTCTCTCTCTCTCTCTCTCCCTCTCTGCACTCAGCTGCTGCTTCCATTTCCATCTGCTCTTGTTTTAATTCCTTCCTCAGCCCACCACATTGCCCATTCCCCATTTTCAATTAAAATATTATGCAATTTTTAATTTATATTTTTAATTAATTAAAATACACTAAAAAACAATACAGCCCCCCAACCGGTAGTACGGTATATAAAAATTCATTTAAAATACTTTTTTGCTTACGGGCAGAAAAAATATATGGTTTTTTTTTGTTGTTGTTCCGGTTCTGTTTACTGTAAAAAAAAACACCTTCCATGACCCCCGTACGCCCCTCAGCCATTCTATATATGGGATATGGGATGTTCCCCCCTGTCCGCACTTTATATGGGATATACCCCTTATCCCCATTCTGTACCACACCCGTTCAACATATATGGAATATCCTCCCAATGCCCCAGTCTTTATGGAATATCGCCGGGATCCCGTTCCTACACCTCCCCCTACCATATCCTCCTGCTCCCTTTGGCGGACGCTATGCGTGACAACGTCGCCTGCTTATTACGTACTTCACCCTCCAACCTCCACTGTCACACACAGCACTCCACTTCCACTCCCCTTTTTAAAAATTAAACAGAAAAAATACAAATAAAAGCAGAAAAAAAAGGGACAAAAAAAAGCTTTGCAGATAAAACACAATTCGCATATGCAACGGCAACGCCAGCAACAGTCCACGGGCCACCTGCAAACCGGACACTTGCCAATGGGCGGAGACCAACCCCAAAAAGGAATCTCCGGATACGGACAACAAAAAATACAAAAAAAAAAAAGAATACAAAAATACAGAAACAGAAAAAATATATATATGAGAAACAGTGAAAAATGTATATACACACGCCCACTGCAAACAAGGTTGCACAGGGGGCGGTGATAGGGTGGAGCAGGGGACAAAAAAAAAAATGTAGGCAAAAAAAAATATTAAAAAAACGAGAAATCTGAAAAAAATTGGATGGAGAGTAAATGGAAGGCAAATGGTAAACGGGGAATGTGGGAAAGTGGAGGAGGAGGAGGAGGAGGAGGAGAGGGTAACAATATGGAGATGGAGAATGGGGTTGTAAAAATTATATTAAAAATGCACTGTCCGAAAAAAGGGCGTAACACAAGCGTAGACACACACACGCACAAACACACATGCACGTGTCCGCTGAAAAAAAAAGTAATAATAAAAGTTGAATTTATTTTTTTATGCTGCATTGGGGTTGGGCCGTCATGGCGTTGATATGTGTACACCTCTTCATGCTCCGTATATATCATATATGGGATGATATATATCTACATATTACTTACATATTAAAACATTTTAACGGCACGGCACAAACCAAAAGCAGAAACGCAGCCCAAACCCGAAGCCCAAACCAAATGTCCCGTTGTCGAAAAATATGCAAGCAAATGAGTGGGTGGGTAGCGGGAAGGTTGGCGGGTTGGTGAGGGGTATACCCAGAGAGTAAATAAACCAAATGAAATCGCAAACAAACGACGACGACACTCTCATTAAGGAAATAAAAACCCCAAAAAAAAAAATAAAATCTGTGGATAGAGAATTAAAATCTGTAGCCTTGATTAACCCAAAATGAGAGCATTAGGCGGGCGAAATGGTGGTTAGAAAATGTCCAGTTACGAGAGGGGGAAAAACAAAATCATAGCATACACAAGGGGGCTAAGCACGTGGGGGTTTGAAGAAAGAAAAAAAGATTAAGGCATCGGTAGAGTTAGTTGGAAAGAGAAAGTTATGAAAAGATTGTAGCTAGTGCGCAACAAAATGATAGCTGGTAGCGGGTGAGCTGAGATGATAAAAAGAAGAGAGAAATGGGCTTTATGGAGCGATTTCAAAATATATTCGCTGTGCCAATATTTTGTTTCCACATCCATCATTCAGTCAAAATCAAACAGCTTATTCAGTACAAATCTACGACTACACTGTTATATTGAACCATTACGGATTTCCACTAATCGCGGCCAACTCCTATTTTTAACAAATTTAACAGATTTATATGAATTCAATGTGTCTATTCATTTCCCTGAACATTTTTAACAAAGATCCTAGTGAAAACAATATATTAGAAAGCTGTATAGAACTACAAAGACGGGAAATGCAACCAGAAAGAGAAAAGGAAATAGCAAAAAGCATCTAGCAAAATAAAGCGAGGGGCATGCAACACAAACCACCCAGTGGAATGCATAAATATAATATGATTGCGCAAACAAAAACAAAATCCAATTTTTGTAGCCATTTGAGCTTGTCATTTGTACAGCGGAATATTCTTTTGTTCTCTATATATATATTTTTTTTTATTTTCTGTTCCGCTGTGCTCTGCTCGCGGCAACATTCTATTCCCGCCTCTCTATTGTACGGCCTTCCTCCATCTCTCTTTCTCTCACTCTCAGACTTTCGGGGGGGCCGTGCATAATCCTGTATGCGAATCCCGCTGCCTGCTTTCCAGATAAACCAGAAAAACAAGGCATACACTCCATTCAAAAAATAGAAAAACATTTCAGCTGGGTTTTTCTTTGTATTTCTTATAAATATTTGATTGGCCATGCAGACGATCTAGAGCTCAAACGAAATCTATGGAAATATAGATTGAAAAAAAGGAAAAGAAACTTGTTGCCAAATAAAACTAGAAATAGAATATAGAAAATATCAAAAGAATGTATTTGGGAAGCTTAAAAAAATACAATAAATATGCTTTGAAATTCGTTTTAAATCTTTACTCAGTGCCCGCCCGCCTAAGTACTAAAATTAATCTGTGGCTAAAGCTTGAAGAATTTTCACTAATACAATAAGTTTTTTACGCCTTAAAAATATAAGCGTATGAAATAAATATCCTTGACATAAAATATGCTATAATCTATGTCAATTAAATGTAAGAAATACCATTTAAAATATGGCAAAAATTCGAATTCGAATATCAATTTCCTTTTCAACCTCTTAAACCTCTATCAAAAACCACTTAATCCGCTTCAATCTGAAGCTTATATGTGCTCACTATAATCTCATGCTATCATTTCGTGGGCAATTCAATGCAATCGCCACGCTCGTCCGCTGCTGTCTGAAGCACTTCCTTCCCCACGCTTCAAGTGACCGCCAATTGAGGCTTAGACCAGACAAATCCATCAAGACAAGAGAGCGGACAATCCACCAGATGCTTTCTACTGCCTGCTTTCCTGCCAACGCAATGGGCATGAAAATGTGTCCTGCTGCTGCTGCTGCTGCTGCTGCTGCTGCTGGTTGGTGGCGCGATGAAACCTGAACACAAAAACCAAAAAAAGAAAAGAACAAAAAAAAAGCGAGTCAACGTTTGACATTAAACAGCGACAACATTTTCGCTTTGCATGCAAAATGCCGGGACACACACAAAGGGACCCCCACAGGATGAACGACAGGCAGCAGCCGGCGGTGGCGGCGGAGGCAACGGAGGAGGCGTCTCATAAAGCAACTGACAACCGCATTGGCGACTCCACCTCGCTTACAGGGACATCCTTGCCTGTCCTCCTGCCACACCGCTAACGACCCGCGCGCTAAAACGTCAGCCAGACAGCAGCAGGGGCAGCAGCAGTGGCAGCAGCAGGGGCAGAAGCAGCGCGACGGCAAACGATGGCGGAAATAGAGCAAAAGTTTCCCCCCACCCGAAACAAAAACGTCAAAAACGTTGGCGGTGGCAACATAAAAAAAAAAGACACACAAGCTACTTGAGCTTGAACCGGCGACGCTTTTGCCACATCCCATGGCGCCTCATTGCCTCCCCCCCACACCCCACAGCCCGTTCTACATTGCCTTGCCATTTTCTGGTATTTTTTGCCGCGACCAGGCCAGGCATGTGGCTGACGGGTTAAGGCGGGACTGTTGACCACCACACTTGGCCAAGTGGATGGCTATGCGATGGCGCGCGCGAATGCTATGGCTATGGCTATGGTGGTCGTTCGGTCGGTCGTCTTTTCTATTGTTTGCTAGGATGATTGTGTGTCCTGGCAGACCCATGCCTCCTTGTGTCCAGTGCAGTATAGTCCCCCATCCTTTTGGATAATGGCAATGATTTTGACGTCTGTTTAGTTGGCCCTTTGGCTTGCCCTGAACTCCAACTCGAAGGCTTGCATCCACTCCACGCCATCGCGAAGGCTGCTTGGGACTCGCACTCCAACGCGAAGGCTGCCAGTCCTCTGCACCATCGCGAAGTTTGCTTGGGCCCTGCAGGCTTTGGGGCGGGGACTTCAATCCAAATCGCAAAGCGCCATGTCCTCCAGCTCCACCGCGAAGGCTAATGGCTATTTGAGTGTGTGTGTGCGTGTGTGTTTGTGGATTGGGATATACCTTCCAGGGAATCGCAACTTCCTCTGCGGCGGGGATATGCAGCCGTCGTGCGTCTGTCGCCTCGATGCGTGGCGTTTTTGTTTTGGGAAAACTGCGGAAGCGTCTTTTAATCAGCGCTTCGTGGCAATGAAAACTGACAGGTGCTGCAGCAACAACACAGCCTTTGGGCAGGATGAGGCGACATCTAATGTCTGGCGACAGGTGAAAATCCCCCCATACCAATTGCTGGCATTGGGATATGTCAAACGTGAGGGCTAAGCGAGAGAGAGAGAGATTTCAATCAGAAATAGAAGGATTGGGCGGTGCTAAAGGTGTCTGATTGAAGAAGCGA